CCTTGCTCACCATAGAGTCTCCTGTAGCTCAGTGGTTAGAGCATCCGACTAGATCACGGAGGGTCGTGGGTTCAAATCCCATCTGGAAACTCGATTTTTCTCTGAAAGTGTGATAAATGCTTGTATTTATTCTTATATGATCACAATTTATATATCTTACATTTTGAAATATTGATGTATCAGTTAGCGATTGAAAGGTGTAATCCTACTAAGAAGAGTATGCAACTTCAGTCAGAAAACTGAATTAGATTTTTTGTGATGATAATAATACAAGATTTGACAAGAACAGTTAAAAATTTTTTTAAAAATTTATTTTTTCCAGTAAATTAAAAAACTGCTTTATTAAATTCTCCAAGTACTGCTTTTCAGAATTCAGTTACAATATATAAAAGTGAATATTAATATAATATAAATATGATATGTACAAAATGTCGATAAAAAAGCATAAAAAAGCATACACTATATACATGATATAAAATTATACCTTAGAGTTCTCTACTCTGATAAAAAGGTGGCCAGGACATTGTTCTTGATGGTTTTGTTAAATTTAACTTAAGAGTTCATCTTGGTGATACAATGGGGGAGATCATTGCACAAGGAGACTGCATTTTTAGGAAAAGGACCGCTGACCTGCTACTGTCCTGCACAGTGGAATGTGGAGTTTGTTTTTATTTCTTTTGTTCCTAGTGAGGACTTGAGTTCTTTTAATAAACTTTTCTTTTAAGTAGGAAGGAGCTTGTCCATTTATACATTTGAATGTCATCATATTATCTCTTATCTTTAGTTGCTGAGCAACTGGTAACGAACAAAGTTCTTTCAGTATTGGAGTTGTCAAATTTCCTAGTTCCTGTGACTATACATGCTGCAAAAAAATCATTGGAGACCCTACCCAATATTTGAGGTGTTCCAAACAGCAGCAACTTTGTTTTTTCTGGATTGATTAGCAGTTTATGTGAACAAGACAAGGCAGCAATTTGTTCTAGGTCACTGGTCAGATGTAATTTGGCCTCTACTGATTCTTGATGTGGAAAAGATAAATAAAGTTGCTAATCATCCACATAGTGTTCCAGTGAGTACTTCCTTGTGACTAATGACAAGTTGATGTCAATTAAATGTTAAAAAGAAAGGGTCCCAAAGTAGATCTCTGGGGAACTCCTTGATGTACAGGTCAAGGGTCTGACATTTCACGGCCAATTTTGATGCACTGGTTCCTTCCAGACAAGTAGCTTCTAAACCATTCCATCACTTCCTTCGACACTCCAAGAGTGCAGAGTTTCTTGAGGAGGAGGAGGTGATTGATACTATCAAAAGCCTTTGATAAGTCTAATAGCACTTAGTCTAATGCTGTCAGTTGTTTGTTATCCATTGTGTTGAAGATCAAGTCACACATTGAGATGTTCAGTGTTTCTGTGGAGTGCTGTCATTTGTTCCCATTCTGGTGTTCAGAAAGACATTTTGTTTGAGTCATGAAGCTTGATAGTTGGTTGAGAGTTGCTCATTCACAGACCTTAGATAAAGCTGGTAGAGGAGACACAGGACAATTGTTGTTAAGAACCCCGTTATCCCCTTCTTTTAACAGCGGAACCAACCACCTTTGCTTCATTCCAAACTGAGGGGAAAAGTGGTGTTTTAAGAGATGCATTGATAATGTCTGTAAGTACCAGAAGTATAACAGGAAGGGAATCCTTTATTACTCTCCTGTGTAATTTTTCTTATCCCCGTGCTTTATTTGAAAGAATTGAGCTATTGCTTCCTTCCAAACTGAGGGGAAAAGTGATGTTTTAAGAGATGCATTGATAATATCTGTAAGTACCAGAAGTATAACAGGAAGGGCATCCTTTATTACTCCTGTGTAATTTTTCTTTTCCCCGTGCTTTATTTGAAGGAATTGAGCTAATCTATCCATTGAGCTAACTGCCTCCTGGTTAGCTCAATGGATGGGTGGGAAAATAGCAGGTCCACATCAGCTATATAGCTGCCATAGATTCAACCTACTCAAACAAATAAAAATGATGATGATGATGATGATGATGAAAGGATTGAACGATCTTATGTATTTCAAATGTGGTAGTTGCACAAAAACTAGATTTGTCTGCTTCACATGTAATCTTGGCTGGAGCAGAGTCATTTCTAGGAAGATTGTTGACTAGAGCAATCCTGTCTGATTCAGTAGCAGCTTGAGCACCAACTGAGGTGAAAAAGGTGTTAAATTCAGTAGCCAGTTCCTTCAAATTCCAAGAATACACTGGTAGTAATTTCTCTCTTGATAGAATACAGTTCCTTATTACTTTCCACTTAGCACCAATGCGCTGGCTGTTCAGCATCTCATTCTTCATGTGATCTTTCTCTGCTTGACGTAACTTTCTCTTGACCTGATTGGGGCACAGGCAGTAAAAATCATAGTCTGGAGTTGTACCTGAATCACAAGCCACTTTATGAGCATGATCTCTTTGCCTCTGTCATTAGATCTTTGATTTTTTTATTTATATACAGGCATTTACAATGTGTAACCCTCTTTTTCTTCACTGGCAAATACTCATTGAGAACTGTAAAAAAGATTTTACGGAACAATTCCAGTTTATCTGCATTTTCAGTCAGTCCAAGGATTCAAGGTTAATTCTTATAGCTTCTTGAACCACATCTGTTGGAGGAGGTTTTGGCATTCTTAGATTCAAAACTGCATATACTGTGTAGTTGTTACTGATGTGTGTTTCAAGTACAGGGTTTAATGTTGGATTGGAAGCCATGACAATTTCAGTAAGTGAACTGGATGTTGAAGTCACTCTCATTGGCTGAGTTGTGATTTGCTTGATGTTAAGACTTTGACACAGATCAGTTAAGGCTCTAGATTCATGCAAGCTGGTCAGCAAGTTGCTCTTCAGAGCTCCAACAACCACATTGGGCTTTCCATGAGTAAGAGCTTGCATGTAGTGATCCATAAAGTCATTGTAAAGCACTATTGTGATGGAGCTTCCTAATAAAAGATTTATATGAGAACGATCCTTCGCAGTAAAGCACTATTTGAGCAATAGTGAAAATCAGACCTGAAAAAAATTTCAGGCCTGTACGGGATTCGAACCACTGACCTCTGCGATACTAGTGCAGCGCTCTACCAATTGAGCTAACAAGCCAACTGGGAGCAGGCCATCAAATTAATTCGATATAAACCCGTAGATGATAAATCAAACAACAACAAACATATGAAACATATGTGTGAACTGCGGTTATGAGACGTATATGAGAACGATCCTTCGCAGTAAAGCACTATTTGAGCAATAGTGAAAATCAGACCTGAAAAAAATTTCAGGCCTGTACGGGATTCGAACCACTGACCTCTGCGATACTAGTGCAGCGCTCTACCAATTGAGCTAACAAGCCAACTGGGAGCAGGCCATCAAATTAATTCGATATAAACCCGTAGATGATAAATCAAACAACAACAAACATATGAAACATATGTGTGAACTGCGGTTATGAGACGTATATGAGAACGATCCTTCGCAGTAAAGCACTATTTGAGCAATAGTGAAAATCAGACCTGAAAAAAATTTCAGGCCTGTACGGGCCTGAAATTTTTTTCGAATCCCGTACAGGCCTGAAATTTTTTTCAGGTCTGATTTTCACTATTGCTCAAATAGTGCTTTACTGCGAAGGATCGTTCTCATATACGTCTCATAACCGCAGTTCACACATATGTTTCATATGTTTGTTGTTGTTTGATTTATCATCTACGGGTTTATATCGAATTAATTTGATGGCCTGCTCCCAGTTGGCTTGTTAGCTCAATTGGTAGAGCGCTGCACTAGTATCGCAGAGGTCAGTGGTTCGAATCCCGTACAGGCCTGAAATTTTTTTCAGGTCTGATTTTCACTATTGCTCAAATAGTGCTTTACTGCGAAGGATCGTTCTCATATACGTCTCATAACCGCAGTTCACACATATGTTTCATATGTTTGTTGTTGTTTAATAAAAGATTGTTATTATTATTAAAGCATGAGGTCAGGCAATCAGGAGGCCTGTTACAGTAGGTTTTGCATAACAAAAAATTATTTCTCTTATGCTGGATTTGTACCCATAGCTGGTGAAAGCCAGAGTTTGATTCCTGAGAAATCTTTAAGTACTTTAATTAGCTTCCAGCAACTTTGCATGGAAACACAGACACCACCAGTGTGATGGTTATAACCTATGATTTCCACTTCAGTTTTGGTAACAGAAGAATTAAGCCAAGATTCTGAAATTGCTAGTGCTCCGTATTTCTGTTCATTGACTAAGTTCAGTACTTGCAGCAGATGGTCTCTGTTTTTTATTGACTGAATATTGGTGTGAGCAACAGTGATCGTGAACTTTGGAATTTATTGATTGTCATACTTTGTGTGACCTCCGTTGTTGTTTTACTGTTGTTATTCAAAGTCACTGTTGGTAATATGTTAATTAATGAGGTTGTTTGAATTTCTGCCTTGAATTAACCAAGAAGAGGCTGATGATGATGTCCTAGAGCAGCGTGTTTCAACAATGTCAATCTTCCTTCCAATGCTTGATAAATGTTTTCCTCATCTACCTTGTTTACCTCCCTTGGGTGCCAAAAGATTTAGGGCTTTGAGCCTTGACCAAACATCTCATGAAAGCTGTTGCATCAGTGAAGTGTGACAAGAATTACTTCAAACTTTCCAGAAATTTCGGATGTTTGAAAATAGATTGTGTAAATAAAACATCCCAAGAGTAGCCATTTAAATTTAGATTGTGTACTAGTAAAGTTAGGCAAAAATCTCGGTAAAATATATATAAAGATAAGATTTAAAATAGAGCCCTAAACTAAGCAAATGTAAGGGCACTAATTACATGCACTGTCATTTTAGATTTGAAGCTGTTTTCTCAAATTCATCATCAGTGAACTGCAGACATTCTGAATAATTGTGAAATAGGAGAAATGATAGCTTTACTGTCACTAAAATTAATTGTTGTTAACTGAAGGATTCTTTTAGATCATGCAGGTGTTGAGCAATGGAAATGCCTTGTGAAGAACTACACTCTGATGCCTCATCCTCATTTAGAAACAGGAAGCCAGGATTTTTTTGTTATTAATGTAAATAAGGTATGAGATTTTATATTAATGCGTTACAAGACTGCTAAACAGTATCAGTTGACTGATGAAAGAATATCTATTCAACCACAGATCAAATTTTGATTATCTGTTGGTAGGTTTACATTATGGAATCAAGAGGTGATTGCATATGAAAGGGTCAATTTTACCTGTCTATTTTTCCAAGAGTTTCCAAATCTGTTAAATGAACACAGCTGAATACTTCGCGGAAAATTCTTTCAGTGATGTGGCTAGTAATTACTCTATTTTGATGACAGTATATGGATGAGATACTATAATTTTTGAAAGACTGGAATCACGTTTTCCTTTCAGTATAGGTACTCATGTCAGACTAAGGTAGATACAAACATGAATGAAAACTTGGAACTTCCAATTTAAAATATTTTCTCAGATGTTAAACTATTGTATTTTATAAAATTAGAATCAAGTAATTTTCCATGATTAAACTGATAAAACTATGTAAACTCAAATATTATTCGGTGTAAGTATTACAATGAGATCACTTTGTTATAATTTTAGACTGATGAGCATCCTCCGCAAGTGATAATGATGAGGTTGATTCTTAGACAACCTTCCCCTCACTGGAATAGCTTTGGTGTTGAAGAGATAAAGTGCTTTCTACATTCACCTAATATGGTAAATCAACCAGTTTGTAATACTGAAACTCATGATTTTGTGTTCAAAGCAAAAGATGATCTTTTTTGTCGCCTTTGAAAATAATGCATGCCCAGTTGACTCATACAAATCATGTATTGTTATCCTCAGTTGAATAGTTAAATGACAAATCACCATAAATACATCATTCTGTACCAACTTTTATAAAGATGAAAGAATGTATACTTTAAGGGTTCATGGTGGAACCTGCTCCTGGGGACAAAATGATCAATAACAGGCTGTTTGGTCAATATAATGAACCAGAAGCATTAACCAGTAACCTAGAATACTAGATTGTATGCTTCTGGTTGAATATTTTGTAAAAGTGGGCTTAAATCTCAAGTATCACTAAATTATTAAAATTAAAATAAGTATGTATGAGTTCAGTTTGTAGTAAGAAGTTTGGATCTCTAGTAATGTTATAACTTTGGATCTGTCACTATAACTTTGGATCTGTAATTACAACTTTTGCACCACTTTTTTCTCCCATCAATAGTGGCACTTCCAGACCACTGTAGAATTATGGAGACATTTAATAGTTTTAGACTAGAACTTCCTTACAAGTGACATCAGTGACGGCTCCCATCCAAATTCCTGTTTGTTTATTTTGGTTCCTCTTTGCTGCATGTTTTATAAAACTAGTGTGGATGATATCTTTTCAAATTCTTGAGTAACATTGTAACAATGAAGATGAGAGGGCATGGCATCTCATCATAATCATGAATATTTCATGGATCACTCAAATGACCGTTAAACCACTGACAACTTCTGACTAAGTCGTGTTTGTCTCTTTTAAAGCATATGTCATCGTAATGCATTTTATTTTCCATTGTTATGTCAGGGCTCAATTTTTCAAGGAGTTGCCTTTTGGCAACCTTCAATAATGTAAAATGGTGGTGATTAAAAAAAGCTGCGGTTGCCTTCCTCCCCCCCAGTTTTTATTTTCCTTTTTTTCTTAATTTGTTTGTTATAAATTGGTGACTTTTGTAAAAATTTTAGCTGTCATGGCATTGGTTGCAGCTTGGAGTGCTGCAATCATGTGGAAGAAGTCCAAGAGATAACTGCTCTCATTAACAGACCAAAGCTTTAATGCTTTAAAATCTAGTAGAAAGTAAGACGTTTGTTACTTTTCAGAATTACTCATCAATACCAGAATGGCTACATAACAGTGGAGGAGTCAAAGCAGTACAGGTGCTTATCAGATTTGATATAATTGTAGTACTTGCCCTCAGACTGGTTGATGCAGTTCCTGACCTAATACGAAGTATTGTGAAAGTCTGGTAAAAACACCTCAAGGGCCACAAATGGATAAAGCTCTGTTTTGCTAACATGAACCACTCTCTGCTAGGGGCAGGTTGGTCCAAATTTGGTCTGTTTTAAGAGACTGAAGAGGAATTACTCTAAATCACCAGTTGTTTGTCTACTGTAATTCATTTCCAACACTTCCATAATTGTACAGTTTAACGATAAAGTAGTTTGGCTTCTCCCAGATCATAGTTTGATAAACATTAGGTGACCATTTTGATAATGATGTATTGAAGGAACCAATCTTTGTTTCAGAATGTCTCTAACTCAGAGAATGTGGCCTCCAGCATACAGCAACTTTGGGCATTAACTCAAGAGATGAAGTCCTCAAAACAGAATCTGTCTATTGGTCGTTTTGATGTAAGTTTTAAGCCATGTTGATTTCAACAGCAATTACAGAAATTCACTCACTTGGCTGTTCATAATAATTTTTTATATTTCTTTTTAGATTGACAGAAGCTATGACATCAACTTGTTATCTTACACATGACAGTACTACTGTGTGATTTGCTGGCCAATTGAAGTGAAGAAATATTAACCATGTGATGTTCTCATGTCTGTATTGTACCATACAAAGTAAACAAGTAATGCAATGTATCAATCATCTCTCTTCAACTTGAAGGCTCCAAATGGGAGAAGCAATCCGAAAATTCCTACAGATGTAATTATGGATTTGGCTGATTTTATACTAAAGAACAACCATATTGAATTTGATTGAAATGCAACCTCTAAAATTTGGGACAGCTATTAGCAAAAAATTAGCACCAGCTTATGCTACTTTACTTAGGGATAAACTGGAAAGAAAATTTGACACAAGTTTGGTTGAGCTGTATTTTGGTTTAGATACATTGATGACATTTCAATGGACTAGTGGCAACGATAAATTGAAAACATTCTTTAATTATTGAATGATGAATGGATGATACAATAAACTTTATGTGAGATTGGTTATAGGAATATATTGATTACCAAGATGTGGAAATAACAAAAGTGATAGGAAAATAGAGACATCAAGCCTTCCCACAAGGGTCAGCATCTGTTGTCACCCCTCCATGAGTAATGAGAGCAAAATATACAGCCTTGCCCTGAGGCGTAGTCTCTTTTGCAGCAGTTGTTTGGGCTCGTCACGCAACGCTCCCTCCCTGATGGGGGAGGGAGCATTTTGTGACGAGCCCAAACAATGGCTGCGAAGGAGACTACCTGAGGTGTAGACTGATTTTTTATTCTAAGTGAGAAGGTACTAAGTGTAGGGTGGCACAACTGTACAGATTTTTGGTTGCAAGAGGATACAAACAAGACTTCATTCCTAAACAATTCAATAAGTGCAATTGAAAACTGGAGAGGATGCATTGATACCATGCCCAATGGCAGAGTACCTATGGTTGTCAGCTGCCCTCTTGATTTAGGGAACATGGTGGCTTTTTAAGAGAATTGGAATCCTTTTTGCTTACCTCCGAAGAAAACAAACAAACAAACAAACAACATATCAATCAAAGTGTATTTAGGGCTTTTAGATGACTAATTAAACTTGAAGATTATCTAGTACATGTAAAATTAGTCTCCCAGTGCTCCAAGCAGTTCAGGAGAGGAAGGAAGCAATGTGGTGTTGAGCACTGCCAGATGTGCAAACATCTGAAACTAGGTGACAGATTTAATTACCATAGAACCACAAACATTTTATATTATCACAGTAATACTGTCTATTTAATTAAATTACTAAATATTTTGCACAGGTTGTCTGGAACAAATGGTACGTGTAGTTTGAACAACAACCAAGTTTATATTGCATTTCAATAACCACAAATTGCACTAAAGAGCTCACTCAAGGCTCTCTGGAATGTGGAGAAAGAGACTATCTTCTATTTTGAGGTCATAACAGTCCATGACACCATGGTCTTGCTATCTCATTTCAAGTGATAGATAAGTGTACAAACCACCTCGGTAGAGAAAGAGGAGTATTGGACAAACAGGCTTCACATGATTGAGCCACAAGACCTTAATAAGAATAGATGGGAAAGAGTCTGGGCAACTGAATTTTAAGATTTGTCTTCAACCATCTATTGCTGATGTGGGGTGTTATTGTGAATAGTTTATGCTGGAACGAAGTTTGCTTATTTACAGAAAATTTACCACTACTTTTAAGGTGGCAAACTGATACTCTTCGTAATTAAAACAACGTATAAACTTATGTGAATATTGAAACTGGTCGATTGATGGAGGCTATGGTGTGATTGTCAAATACTTATAGCTTTCAGTGCTAAATATGTTCACAACATACTGGTTCAAATGTCTTGGTCTCCCGTTCTCTAAATGAGCTTTTGAGCAAGAGAGGTCACTCTTCGTCCAATATGGGTCTAAAAGACTTAATGATGAGAAAATTCAAATGTTCACCAGGGATAGGAATGCAGCGGAATCCAACAAATGCAAGGGCGACATCACTTTCTTTTCTTCCTTTCTCTCAACTTAATCTGTGATGAGTTAGATGCAGGTGCTTGTCCATGAAATTTTCGTCCCGTTTCTTCCTTTCTATGTAAATCGTCTTGGTCGTCGACATGTTTGTTTATAGGAACCACTACAATTGCCAAAATACAGATCAACTGAAAAATACCACCAAGGAAAAGGCCATAGTGAAGAATCAAATCCCACATTTTCGCTGAGCTGCAATGATGATGTTGACAATCGACCGGTAGTCGACAGAGCAGAATAGCGTATACGCATGCGCTCAGATTTACCGTGGAAACACGAATTTTTCGGTAAAGCGTTCATGTTAGGTCCATATCATGTCCCAATAATTAATACACATAGTTATAGTATCCATGTATGTTACACGATATGTCCTATGTAACCTTGTTCTATCAGTTACCTTTATTCTACCTCACTAACCCCCATCTACCCTAATTTACCCACGTTCTACTACGTTTACCCCCATATACCCTTGATTAACCATGTTCTACCAGGTTAACCCTAATTTACCTTAGGTAACCCATATTCTACCACGTTAGCCCTCGTCTACCCTACGTAACCCATGTTCTACCACGTTTACCCGCATCTACCCTAGGTAACCCATGTTCCTCCCCATTTACCCCCATCTATCCTTCGTTAGCCATATTCTACCACGTTCTCCCTCATCTACCCTAGGTAACCCATGTTCTACCACTTTTACCCCCATCTACCCTAGGTTAGCCATGTTCTACCACGTTTACCCCCATCTACCCTAGGTAACCCATGTTCTACCCCTTTTACCCCCATCTACCCTTGGTTAGATATGTTCTACCACGCTAACCCTCATCTACCCTAGGTAACCCATGTTCTACCACGTTCACTCTCATCTACCCTAGGTAACCCATGTTCTACAACTTTTACCCCCATCTACAGCAGGTTAGCCATGTTCTACCACGTTTACCTCCATCTACCCTAGGTGACCCATGTTCTACCCCGTTTACCCGTGGTAGAACATAGCTAACCTAGGGTAGATGGTGGTAAACGTGGTAGAAAATGGGTTACCTAGGGTAGATGGGGGTAAACGTGGTAGAACATGGGTTACCTAGGGTAGATGAGGGTTAACGCGGTAGAACATGGTTAATCAAGGGTATATGGGGGTAAATGTAGTAGAACATAGGTAAATTAGGGTAGATGGGCGCTAATGAGGTAGAACAAACGTACCTGATAGAAAAAGGTTACATAGGACATATCGTGCAACATACATGACTGTTATAATACGTAGTATTAATCTGTATTAGTTAGTGGGACATCATATGGACCTAACATGAATGCTCTACCGATTTGGAGGATTTTGAGTCATTCGCGTCGTTCGCGATCGTCGTTCGTTGGTTGATTTCCTATTCTGTTACTTCGAGGCGTTGTTTTCCTCTCCGCTTTTCTTTCAGAACAACCTCCAAAACTTGGTACACCCCCTAAAAATTTTCAAAAATTAATATTCTCCTTAAAATCTCTGGAAATAGGAAAATGCCTTCGACGAAAACAGAGTTCCTCGGTTTTAAAAGTCAGCCCTTACTATTTTCCGCTCAGTTCGCTAAATTTTAGACCTAGGACACTTGAGCCCGCGTACTTGACCGCATACCATCGACTATCGTGCCCAACCTTTTTCCTTTGACGTGCAGCAACATGGCCGCTGCAAATCCGCCCTTGGGTACAAGCGACAATACTAGTACTCCTTCTAAAATAAGTACTTGCAAGCCAGAACTGGATTTTTCCACGCCTTGGAAAATGAGCGATCTGGTACTTGTTGTCGAAAACAAGCGATTCCATGTTCATCGTTCCATTTTATCGATGTGTTCTCCCGTTTTTGACAGGATGCTTTCGTCTGACTTCAAAGAGAAAAACGCTCCTGAAATTCCACTTCCTGGAAAGAAGGCGGACGAAATAGAGGAACTCCTTCGCTCTATTTACCCTTACGTTGAACATCGAATATGTGAAGAAAACTCTTTTTCTTTGCTAGAGCTTTCCTGTGAATACCAGCTGGATAGATTGAAGGCTCGCTGTGAAAAGTACTTTATGTATAAGAGTATGAATAACGAGGAAGCACTCGAATTTGTTGTTGTGGCACAAAGACACCAGCTCAGCAATGAACTGATTCAAAGGTGTATGCAAAGGTTTGTGTCGCAGGAAACTAACTGGGAAACTCTGAAGAAAAATGAATTATTTTCGCAGCTAGAGCCACGGTATTCTCAACAACTTGTGGAGGAGAGAGTGAAGTACCTGGAGAAAAGACTGGCCACATGTAAGTCAACAATTGAAGTTTTGAAGATGAAGAAGAGTGACAAAGACGACGATGATCATGGTTCTTGTTCCTATCGAAGACATTTTATGTTGAGGAAACGGTTCAGAGAACTTGACCACCCGAGCCCTTTTGACTAACTTCACACTTAGGGAATAAAAAGGGTGTTTGTGTGATTGAATTTAAGGAAATGTGAAAGAGGAAGGAGAACGAAATTCTAAAGAAGCCAGTTGACATAGTGTTGCATCCATTGTTGGACTTGGGATTTGAGATTAATTGTCAAGATTTTAGAATATTGACCTGGTTAGGGAGGATAAGTTAATAAATGTCTGTCAACTCAGTCATTATCTTTAGTGCATGTGATTTTTCTGTGCGGTTGGATATGAATAGCCTCAAACTATCTCATATCCACATGTACTAGTTAAACAGTGGTATTATCAAAGTTGTAATGACTTCCTCAGTATTTAATTCTTAGACTTCCAAGTACACTACAATTACTGAACTTAGTAATTCTCAGAGAGCCTTACTACCAAGAAAACCCTTTCTTCTTTATGCTCATCAAAACTGTCTTCTAAAAAGATAATTGACACAAAGTATTAATATTCCAGAAGATGCGATTTATTTCTAATAGTCACACCCAGCCAACCAAATTTCTGAATAACAGGATAGCACATGCATCAATGTGGTGCCCTTCAAAAGTAAGGTTATACACAAATGACATAATCAACACGACAAAAGTCATACCAAAAAAAATCCTAAAATCAGCTTTAAAAATTGTGTTAAAATGGTTTGTTTATTGCTCTTGCTATCAATTGCTTGTGAGGTAAGATATTTGTGTGCACTGTGGAAATCTCAGTGAAGAACCAAATTATATTCATCTTATGGAAATACTAGGTAATGTAAGTTACTGTCAGTCAGATTAGGTAAAGCATAAGTTAAGTTTCAGTTTTAGCTGTCGGCTGCATGATTTACTATTCAAACACTAGTCAGGTTTCAGACCATTTCATTCCTGTGATACTATCATTATCAAGCTTGTCAATACCATGTTAGAAAACATGGACCATGGCCAAATAACAGGTCTATCTCTAACTGACCTTCAGAAAGTATTTGACCTGGTTGATCAGGGGATTTTGCCACAAAAACTTGCATTATACCAACTATAGAAGGCCTCACAATGGTGATTCACATCACACCTTAAAGTCAGCTTCAGTTTTATAATACTATTGTCCAGCCAGTAATGGATTATGGTGCTCGCATTTGAGGCAACAGCTCAACAGAAACATGTAGCAAGGATAATTTCTAATGCGCCTTGGCTACTTTTGATAAAGAAAGATTAAAGATACAGTAGAACCCTGCTAATTAACTTTAACTCCAAAGGGAAACAAGAAATGGTTCAAGTTAGCCAACTGTAAATGACTTTAAAAAAGGGGTCAAAGGAAATCAGATCTTGTTTGAGTTACCTGGGAGTTTGAGTTAATCAATTTTGAGTCATCAGGGTTCTACTGTAGTCATATCAGAATTATCTTAACTGGGCAGGGAAGTGTAATTTTTCTCAAACCATTCCACGTAAGTAATCAAGGAGTTAAAAAAATGGAATAAATCATTGTGATGATTAATTAAATAATTACCCCTCCAAGCTAGAAACCTATCATCAGTCTTGGACCCAGCATCTAGAACTTTGAAAATAAGATAGGGATGCGTTGAGAAAAGAATTTTTTAAATCATCTATATTAATACTGTCCAACATGCTGATATTTTACACCTTGCGCCCCTAATCAAGAGAAAGGTGTTTACTAATTATGATTGATGCTGCCAAAAATGTGATAAAATTGCAGGGTATAAACTAAAGATGATGAGCCAAACAATGTGTCGTGCTTACAGGCAAATAATTTTGCATAAAACAGTTCAGCTTGATCACTTTAGGGGATTCCTCCACCTAAATCAAATATGAGACAGAAAAGAAGATGGAAAGGATACTCTTGTACTGGTTGAGAAATTTTGACACACATAAAGAAGATTATTTAACACAGTGTGCCTCAATAGCATTTATTAGAGATTTGCAACTGTGGATATTTTTGTCAGTCTTCATTCTAAAATCTACACACTAGCAATCTGACTTGACCATCTCCTCCCCCCTATCCCTCCAGAAAATACCTTCACGGCTTACTGTATTTTGCGAAACGAAACGAGTAAACCCGTACTGTATTTTGCGAAACCAGCTCTTCGAAGACTCTAGCGATATATAACTTATTTCTTCCGATTCGTAAACACAATTCGTAGATACAACTCGATGCAGTGATGATTTATAAGTAAAGACTTTGTGCCAAAAGGTCAGAAGTGCGCCGTTTCGCAAATTACAGATATGTAAATCAGTAATTTGCGAAACGAGCTCTTTGAAGATTCTAATGATATGTAACTTATTTCCTCCGATTCTATAACACTTTTCGTAGATACAACTTGATGCAGTGATGATTTGTAAATATAGAGTTTGAGCCAAAAGGTAAGAAGTGCGCCGTTTCGCAAATTACAGATATGTAAATCTGTAATTTGCGAAACGAGCTCTTTGAAGACTCTAATGATATGTAACTTATTTCTTCCGATTCTATAACACTTTTCGTAGATACAACTCGATGCAGTGATGATTTTTTAATAAAGAGTTTG